AGAACAGAGCCCATGTTTTCCAGAACCTTGCTGCTCAGTGTGGTCCCTGCAGCTGCAGCATCACCTGTGAGCTCATGAGAAATGCAGAATCTCATGCCCCACCCCACACCTCCCGAACCAGGATCTGTATTTTTAACAAGCTCCCGGGGCGATTGATGTGCACATTGAAATTTAAAAGTGCTGCTCAAGGGAAGGAAACAGAGGCACAGTTTGCCTGTCTGCTGTCTCTGAGTGGGCACATGGACCCTGCAGCCCCTTCCACCACCCCGCCCTCAGCCCTCTGTCTAGGCCTCCTCAGCAGACCATGTGCTTTTTAAAAAAAATTAAAAAGGAAGGGAGAGGGATAGAAACATCAGTGTGAGAGAAACATTGATTTCCTGCCTCCTGCACGTCCCCCTATTGGGGATCAAGCCTGCATGTGCCCTGACCTGATTGGGAATCAAACTGGTGACCTCTTGGTACTTGGGGATGACACTCAACTGAGCCACACCAGCCAGGCCATGTGCTTTTTACAGCAGTGAGCACCAAAGAGTCCCTGTGCCTCCTAAGGAGGTCCCAGTGTGCAGGCTTTACTCTTAAGGAGACCCTAAGCTGGCAGTTTACTTTCTCTCACTGCTTATGGCCCCTTTCAGCTGCGGAGGCTTTCATTTCACCCTGGTCAGTGCATCGCCTCTCTCCATAATGGTTTCCGCCTGGTGTTAATGCTTACAGAGCCTCTCTCCCCATTGCAAGGTGGATAAATACTCGCTTTTAGCTGACACATCATTTTCTAACAGCCCATCTGGAAAACCAGATCAGAAGCATCCTAGGCATCCCGTTGCATTGATAAGCGAGGGTTGGCTGCCGCGGAGAAAAGGCCCCCGTGATCGTCTCAGCCCGATTCTGAAATGTTCCGTAACTTACACCCGAACAGCCCGTCCGTTAGACTCCCGCAGCTGGCTGCCATGCCATCATCGCCGTGGGTGTCAAAATAATGACGCCAGCCCTTGAGGGAGAGAAGGGGAACTCGGTCATGGTCTCAGGTGTCCGGGCTCAGAGCATCAGCATCCTTCCCGGGAGGGCTGTGCCGTGGTAACCGGAGGAACTCGCTTTCCCCCCCGCGCAGGCGGACACCTGCACTCCTAAGCTGAACGAAGGAGATCAGATCGTGCTGATCAACGGCCGGGACATCTCGGAACACACCCACGACCAGGTGGTGATGTTCATCAGGGCCAGCCGGGAGTCACACACGCGGGAGCTGGCCCTGGTGATCAGGAGGAAAGGTAACAGCCACGGGAGGGGGGGAGCCGCAGGGACGCCGCCCCAGCCAGGCGGGGCCCAACCTGGCCCTTCCGTGTTTTTGAAAATGTTGAGCTTGTAGCCAACATTGGAAAAAATCAAGAACTTTCACATAACAACCTGCATGTCTGACTTCTCCCTGGAAGAACTTGGAGATCTTCCCACAGGGGGCCCAGCCCCTCGCGGCCTATCCTCTGGAGGTGGGCAGCAAACCGCGGCCCCCTTTACGCAGGGCATGACCCCCCAGTTCCTCCCAGGCCCAGCTCGGCTCTTAGCTGCCCGGCCCTGCAGGCGTTTGCATTTTTCAACCCTTTCTGGAAGGATCGGGTTATATTTTATTCATGTGCGTTTGGTTTTGTTGGAGAGCAGTAAGCAGAGGGGGCAGGGCCTGGCTGCCTCTGTGGCGCTCACTCCTCCGCCGCCGCCTCCTACGGTTGAGGGACCTTGGGCAAGTCTGTGTTTGTTTCCTCTAGTGGAAAACGAGTGTAAGAACGGTCCCTGCCTCCCCTTGCGGGGTTCTCATGAAGATTAAATGACACTAGCACTGGAAAGCGGCTGGGATGCTGCCTGCCTCGTGCTAGGCGTTCGAAGGATGGCTTCTTTGAATATCATCACTGTTCCTGTTGTTGTTATAAAACAATAAGCCGAGTCCTTGAACGCTTCTGCCCAGCTTTGTGACACAAGGAAAGTGCACTGTGACTCAAAGCACTGGCCCTACATTTCTATTCTGGTCTTAGAGGTGAATGGCACAGCCACCTATCCCTTCTTTCTCTCTCTCTCTCTCTCTCTCTCTCACTCTCACGCACACACACCATCTGCCTTTCTCTGTTCCCACTAAAACTTTCAGTCCAGAGCCCTCAGGTGTCAGCTCATCCCACCTCCTTGTGAGGCCTTACCCGATCCTCTAGATCCCTGCCTACCCCCTTACCCCCACCCCATCCCCACCAAATCCCAGCACCCTGCTTGGCACACAGTAGGTATTCAGTTGTGACCCTCTTCTATTCTCATAACACTCTAATAATGTTAGTTGTTATCTGCACGTGAGGAAATGGGGAAACCAAGTCACAGAGAGGTGAAGTAAGTTGCCCTGCTGCTGTGCGGCTAGTAAGGCCACAAGATAATAGGGAACTAAGGAATCCAGCTATTGGGAGCAGGCCCTCGGCCACGCCATGCGCCCGTGGGGTGCTGGCCCTCATAGGTGGCCAGCAGGAGAGACCCTGGCCCACCTGAGGTGAGGATAGTGGATGTCTGTAGACTATTAGAACTACAAGGGCAGTGCTCTCGTCTTCTACAAATGTAATGATAAGTTCAGTTTTTAAATAAAAAATAGTTGATTGAGAGAATAGTAAACAGCGTAGGGAGCAGCCGATATGACAGAAGTTACGAAAGCAGCAGAAGAGCTGAGCTTCTCTTATCAGAGAAGAGAATGTGATCTTTAGGGTCAGACAGATGTGGACCAAACTCCCCTGTCCCTACCTGACAACTTTGGTCAACTTACTTTCCGAGAGTCAGTTTCCTCGTCTGTGTAATGGGAATAGTGACTCTTGTTCAGCATTTTGAGGATTTCCATCCAACTCTGTGTGAAAATGTACAAGTTGTTACTTTCCTTTCTAGTTACCTTGAAGGCAGTAGGGAGCCAATGAAGGCTTTTAAGTAAGAGAGTGACGTCCCCTTCTAGGTGGAAAAGGGAAATTCAGAGATGATCCTGAAGTTTCCAGTTTGGGAGATTGGAAAAAGAAATAACAGTAGATGGAAAGAGGCAGTGAGGTGGGGGAAGATTGTGCAGGTGGGGAAGCTGGGTCCTAGGTTACTGTTATTCATATGGAGTCTGGTGCGAAGGGAGGATTCGTACTGAAGAGGTAGGTGGGAAGCATAGAGATGTTAGGATTAGAGATGTTTACTTGGGAGCCTCCCACCTAAAAATGGGCATGAGTTAGATTGAGCCCTGCACGATGATGGTGTCATGGACAGCGTGCCAGACCTCACCCCAGAGCCTGGGAAGGTGCCTGTTTTAAGGAAGCAAATGAAAAGGAACTGAGAAGGGGATCTGTAGAAGAGGAACCAGGTCAGAGAGAGCCAAGAGAGAGGATATGTTTTCTTTAAAAACATCCTTTCTGCCCTGGCCGGTTTGGCTCAGTGGTTAGAGCATTGGCCTGTGGACTGAAGGGTCCCGGGTTCGATTCCACCCAAGGGCACATACCTCAGTTGCAGGCTTGATCCCCGGCCCCAACAAATCAGTGTGTCTCTTTCACAGCAGTCTTTCTCTCCCTCTCTCCCTCTCTCCCTTCCACTCTGAAAAAGCAGTGGAAAAAATATCCTTGGATGAGCATTAAAAAAAAAGTAAAAACAAACAAATCCTTTCCCTTTCTTTTACCTTTGGCAAAAGCCTCAGAGTACTAAAAGCCACCATACACTAACCAGAATAGTATGTCATTTTGTGTAATCAACACGTATTGAATCATTTAACAAGAAGTAGTGTGTTTGGTGAAAATGATCACTGTGTGCTTAATCACTTAATGAGATGTTTTAAGCCATCTACATCCAGGTGTCCTAAGTATAATTTTGGGGGAGGAAACTGATCACCAGAGCTTTGCTGCCCAGCCAGACACACCCTTTCTTGTCCACGACAGCCGTCCACTCCTTTGCTGATATCAAATCAGAAGATGAACTGAACCAGCTCTTCCCAGAGACCATTTTCCCCGTGTGTCCAGAGGGTGCTGACACTTTGGAGGGATCCATGGAACAGCTAAAAAAGGGCCTCGAAAGTGGGACGGTGCTGATCCAGTTCGAGGTAAGAGAGCCTGAGGGCCCCCCCCCACAGCAGGGGCCCCGGTGCTTGGGTGGACTGCGCAGGTGCTGCCGAATCGGCTGCGACACTGGGGGCCGTGCTCATCACGGAGCACAGGAGGGGCTCCGAGCACAGGGCTGTGGAGCAGCCCAGAAAGCAGGGGATGGGCATCACAGCCCGTCACTGAACTCTGCCTCACCCTCTTATTCTAGTAATGTTTGGTAGTCATGGAGAAACGCGTCAGAAATCGAGGAGGAGGAACTCTGAGCTATTTAGCTGCCAACACAAAGGCTCCAAACGCTCAGCAGTAGAAGGTAGTAGAGAGGTGGCGTGGGTGAGCGCCCAAGGCATGGCGAAGGAGCCCGTCCCTGACCGCACCCAGCACCTGTATAATCGGAGCAGTTCGTGTCATCCCATGAGGGCACGGTGGCTTGCCTTCCCAAGGCCCCAGAACAGTGTGAACATGAGTAGCAACCAAAGTCAGACGCCGTCTTCCCTTCCCACACACAGACTTTACAAAACAAAGTAGAACCAAAGAAGGCTCGGTTTTTAAGTCAGTTTTACTGATCTGCTCACTAACAGAATGGAAGTACAGTATGTTTATCGTCTGAATTTTCCTCGGGGTAGAAGAAAGCAGAGTAGTTCACGCAATAAATGATAACAAAAGAGCACAAAGATGCATAAAACAGGTCGGTGAAGGAAAATAGATCGTGATTAACACAAACATACACAGTTTGGATCCATAAATTAGGGAAAACAGTCTCAGATCGCGTTTGAAAGCAGAAGTCAGCAATTCGTTGTTTATTTGTATAAAGGAAGAAGTCACAGAAGGAAAACTGGGCAGTTTGTCAAGTGTATGTGACCACACATTGATTTGGGAGGAGTATAAATATCGACAACAAGGAGTGCAGAGCACAGAGCCTTGAGGGAGAAGAGGTTTATTTATAACGGCATAAGCATTAGGGTGTAAGCAGAATACGCTGTTAATTAGAGCGACGCATGCTCAACAGCAGTAGAAGGCAGAAACCCACAAGTGAAAGGTGAAGGTAATTGACCTCACCCCCCCAAAAATCAATAGGGAATTTTAAACTTAACAGCCATGACAGATAATACAGACCAAAAAGTAAGCTCATCTCTTGTGGAAATAAAATCAGGAATAAAGGGTAGGAATAATATAATTACTTGGGTGGAACTGGATAGACACATACTGAATATCTACAAGGAGAGAAAGCCTTTCTTCCCAGTGCCTGCAGGAGGCTATGCCAGGTTAGGACTTGAAAAGATGAAAACGTAGAGGTTATGTTTCCTAGCCTTGCATTGCAAAAAAATTCAAGGTTGAAATGTGCATTCTAAACACTAAAACTGCATACTTGTAAACACTCACCAAAATCATTGAAACAAGGAGAATTTAAAAGCCAGATACAGAGTATGTTCATTTTATTCCTGTTTTGGTGTTGGAGGGGATGTGGGAGAGGAAAGGCACTCTGCAGTCATTCATTCCTTCAGGGTGTGTGTAGGGGGTGTTCACCGTGTGCCAAACAGAATCCAGGAACACAGGAGGGAGAGGGTGGATTTCTCGCCCCAAGAAGTATAAAGTCTAATTTTGTTATATTTGAGGGGATGCATCATGAATTCCAGAAGCAGCTAAAGACCAAGATAGGGCAAGATTTTATTACACAGAACATATGTTCTATAGAAACTGGAAGTGAGAGGGTTCCAGGAGGTCTTCTGGAATGGGATGTAGTATTAATAGAGGATGGGTGGGATTAAGTGTGGAAGGGGGGAGGGTATTGCAGGAAGGTCACAACCTAAATGTAGACTAAGCTCATAGGGTATAAGGTAGCAAAGAGAAACAGGCCTACCTGGAGTGAGAAGTACAGCAAGGAGTCCTGGGAGATGTCTCCTCCAGGTGGTGGAAGTCCGTCCGCCCAGAGGGAATCGCTTGTCTTTGGTCACACTGTCCACAAGGAGGCGCTGTGGGCTCTCAAGGAGGAAGAAGGCCAAGCTGGGTCTTAACCTGTGCTCCAGGAAATCCCCTCCACTCCGGGGGCTCCCCTTTTATGTTTTACATATGGGAATTCCACATAAGGTTTTCCTTGAACAGCTTTCACTAAACTTCATTAAGAAATTTAAAAATGCTTTAGAGAGAAGTGCCCACCTGTCCCCCATGTTTTTGAGTAGTGATTCTCCAAGGATGACACTTTGAGCATCTGTATGGATGTTACCTGAAGAGCTTGTTACACTGGGCCCAGACCACAGCTCCTGTCAGCCACGCTGCGATGAGGCCTAGATGTTGATACTCAGCCAGATCACTGGGAGGCTTTGATGTCCAAGCTGATCCAGAGGATGATGGGGGGAATGGAGGCGTGGGTAAAGATCATACCAGAACCATTATCCCGCTGCTACCCACCCAGAGTCCTACCTTTAGAGCTTATAGTTGGACTAGAGCATAAAAAATGGACAACATAGAAACTTTAGGGTTAAATTTTAGTTTCACATTTCCATTTCCTTCATTTAGTGTGTGTATTTCCTAGAAATTAAGTAGGGAAACCCTCTTTTTAAGTAACATTTGCAGTGTTCCAGAATGCAGAACAGATAACAGCAGAGCTGCTCTGCAATGGAGCTGGTGGGGTACATGCAGCCCTGTCTCAGTCTCCCCACACTGTCCCAAGGAACCCTAGACTACGAAACATAATTTAATGACCACTGTTACAGATGGGGAAAAGATGGCATACACAGCTGCTAGAGAAGACTTCTAAATGAGGCCAGATCAAACCAGAAATGAAGACAAAGGGAAACCTTTCATGAGCACTTACTGTGTGCCAAGGGCGTTATGTGCATCATGGCACAGAATTCTCACAACAGCCCATTATGTAGATGGAGGATCAGAGCCTGGGGAGGTTATCACACAGTAAATGGCATAGCTGGTTGGAACCCAGGCAGGCTAACTCAAGAGCTTGCCCTCTTAACAACTATATAACCTTTGTGAACAACAGAATGTATTTACATGTGAGAGTTATTATTAGACTAGTACAACATCAGAGCTAGAAAGATATCTGAGAAGCTATCTAGCCACATGGAGTCAAACAGGTTTTAAACCCTGCCTCTGCCACTCACTTCCTATGTGACCTCGGGCATTTCCCTTAACCTCTGTGGCCTCTACTTCCCAATCTGTCAGTTGGGTGTCTCATGAGTTGATTTTAAGGGTTAGATGAGATAAATACTTAATGCATTGTCTGGCACATGGTAAGAGCGCAATAAAAAGTAACAACTATCATTATTTATAAATAGAGGCTCCAAGAGTCTAAAGAACATGCCCAGTCTCCACACAAAAAGTGGCCATGTCACCTTGGGGTTGGAACCCAGGACTCTCTGACCCCAGAGTCCTGGCAGTTCTGGTTCTCCACATGCTCTTCCAGTGCTGTCAGCCGGTGGGCAACGTGGTTGATAGGGGCTGTGCCCGGTATCAGAGCAGGAGGAGATGGCTGGTTCCTAGCAGGTGCCCACTCCACCCACTCCACCACACGAAGGGCCGGCTGGGAGGAAGCTGGGCCACAATGGAATCCCTCATGGTGGCTAGCTGGTTTTCAGCACAGCTCGCTTTGAAGCATATCTTCATAAAGGGAATGCCCCTGTTCCTCAGGTGGCTTTTGATAAACGATTACAAATGTGTTCCAGAAAGCATTCGGTCCCAGCTGTAACAGAGTCCCACTTAAGGAGCATTTCTGTAGCACTTTGCGGTCTGCCAAGTGTGTTTCACGTGTGTTGTCTCCATTGACTCTCACAACAGTTCTATGGAATAGACATGGCCAGAATCATCAGGGCTACTCCTTTGTAGATGGAGGAAGTGAGGCCCAGAGGCGAAGGGACTTCCCAGTGCCACACTGGTGAGAGAGAGATCTCAGATTGGCATCGATGTTAAAAGTCTCATCATTGGCAGATCTCACCATTGCCAGGTGCTACCCAGCCCCTCACCCAGCCCCCAACATGAGCCCTCCCCTCCAGCAGCTACTCCATCTACCTACTCGGTGTGAGCGGTGTGGCAGCCATTTGTGATTGGCCCCAAACTGCCTAGATACTCTGCTTCGCCAAGACTTTGTGTCTCAGGTAAAGGAGAAGACTTGGGGTTCACATAGCTTCGAGTCCATTATCACGCCCTAGGACACTCTCTTCTTTAAGGAACTCATCCATTCAGCCCCAGCTTCATTCCTTCCTGAGAGTAACGTGTGGCTCAATCCATGCTTGCCCTGAGTTGCATCTTCTATTTAGGCTGGAAGAAGGCTATGCATTCAGCTTAGACGTCCCTGGATAAAAGCTAGGTGACGGTGCTGACTGGTCCTGTGAGAGCCAGCTTCCCAGCCAAGGACCCTGTGCCCATCCTTGTCCAAGGACCAGGTGACTTGGAGCTTCCTTGCCCAGTTGAGACCTCTTCGGAGACTTGTGGAATGTGGTTGATAGAAAATGAGGGTCATCTGTCTTCCTCCGTCCCAGGCTAGTGAGTTAGAGCAGTGGCTGCAAGACCCCTTCCACCGAAGGTCACGTCAAACTCAGGTCGCCCTGCCATCCCGCTTCAGCATCTTCCATCTTCACCCAAACCAGAGCCATCTTCTGACCTGCTTTCCTTAACTCGCTCCTACATCACCCGCTCTAGGAAACAGCCACTCGTGTGAAAACAGATGACTCACTGGCTCCTTTGATCATTATGGGAGTTGAGGTTGAAGGACAGAGGTAGCTGAAGACAATGAGAAGTTTAAATTGACACATGTAGGGGTTAGTTAAGGCAATTGTACCTTCAAGATTAGAACTCACACCCTAAAAAAAGACTTTTTAAAAATATTTCAAACAGGCAGACATAAGTATGGGTGTAGTCTCAAACCTTCGAAAGCGCCCCAGTCTTAGCTTTGTTCACCCAGCTTTTTGTAAAAGTTTTAATTTTCCATTTTATATATAGATTACTTTTGTTGTAGCTTTTTTTTCTCACATCAGTCATTTGAATTTAAAAAATAATTTGCCTTGTAATAATTCAAGCAATTCAGAGATAGCCAAAGCTAAATTAATAGTCTCCTAACCCTCATCTCCTTTAGCTGCTTTCTCTTTATTATAATTTACAAATAACTTGGTGGGTATCCTTCCACATTTGTTCCAGTGCTCTTGCAAATATGTTTTATACACACGTAAATACATAAACGTGCCCACACATACACACATATATATAGTATACACACTCTGTGCATGCTGCTACTACTGTGTATATTATCCTGTAACTTGCATTTTTCACTTAGATGAAAAGTAGATGAATGGAGATCCTTCCAAATGTGTCCTTTTAGTCTAATTTTTTTATTACTTGCATATAGTTTTGTGGTATGACTGTACCATAGTTTAAGTCAACATTTCTCTCTGTGGGGGAATACTCAGACTGTTCTGCTAGTAAAAAAATATTTTGCTGTAGATAAACTTCTTTGATATATATCTTTATGCATTTCTATCAGATGAAGCCCAGAGTATGCACTTGTGAAAATTTTTAACCACTGCTATAGTACTCTATTTTTTATTTTTAGTATTCTGTGATCTTATCAACAGATCATTATACTACTGAGATACTATAATTAAAGCCTTTTGCTAGATCTGTGCTTTTCTGCTAGACCATCTCAAGTTGATTACATTTACATTTTTGTTATTTGAAAAAAAATTATTTTTACCTCCAGGTTAGCTTTACTGAGTATTTTTGCTTAATTAGATTTCAGTTCTGTGCAGTTAGTCAGTCAGAACCACAGTGTTATCTAGGGGGATTTGGCTGATTCAGATATTCTCCTCCTTTCAAGATCAAACCAAAACCTCCAATAAATCATCAATTTATTTCTGAAATGAGCTCAGAGAGTCCACGTAGATACTTAAGAAATTGTCCAGTGGCTACTTGATTGTTATGAACTAAAATTATAAAGATGATCAGTAGCTAAGCTCGGGGAGAGGTTGAAATTCTAAACATTTGGTAAATGTGTAAGATGTGACATAATTATTATTACACGAAATATCTATTCTGATTCTCTTGGTGAATTCTGTGCAACTTGTGTGTTTAATTTTTTTTTAAAGATAACTAATAGAAAATCCAACAGAGGCTGGCTTACAAAACAAGAAATAAAATTTGTAAAAACATAAGGAGCAAAATACCGTTCAGCCTCCCTTTTCAAATCGTAAACACATGTTAGCTGATGATATTGGCCACAATTTGGTGAACTCACCATTCTCATACACCCTTGTAGGGCAACTTGGTTTTATGTATTGAAGTCCTTCAAAATATGCTTTGATGTAGTAATTCCATTCCTGGGAATGTATAAGAGTAAAAAAATTGGAAACAGCCTAATCAGAAAGCAGAGTACAAGTTAAAATAAGTTATGAGAAACTATAGATTACTGAGACAGTAAAAATCATGTGTATAGAGAATACTTAGAATATTTAATGACACAGGGAACTAGACACTATGTAAGAAGTAGGAAAAAAAACAGACTTCAGAATTACGGTAGTATTTCCCGGAACACTTCTCGTGAGATGTGAGATTCGCCATAGCCAAATTAGCTTGGGAAATGCTTAGCTAATCATAATGAAATCAGCTTACACTCTGCACTGCAGGGCTTGTCTTCTTGAAGAGTCATAGAACAGAAGATGGCTTGGAGCATTTCCCAAATGCCTTTGACCTTGTAGCATTTTCTAAGGACTCTTAGCTTCTTTCAAAACACTTGGGTTCCATAGCGCCCAGTATGGACCATGATAACCTATAGTTCAATCTCAGTTTTTTGTTTTAAAAAAACCTACGTATTATGTGTTTGCGTATATACATATATGTATATTTGTATACACATGCACAGAAAAATATAAACTGGAGAAAATATATGAAAAGAATTATGTAATTAACTTGTCATTTTCTTTTTTATACTAGTATGAATTTCCCAAATTTTCTGCAAAAAAAAAAAAATCGATCACTTCCAACGTTGAAAAATTGTGTTGTTTTTAAATTCCCATAAAGTTAATAAAAACCACTGGTTGAATAGTGTTTCACTTTGGAGTTGAAAGTGGGAGAAATAGTTGTGTAGAAAAGAAAACTCAAGGGGCAGGAGGAAACTTGGGGAGACAAGAGATATGTCTGTGGCCTGGCTAGTGGTGGTTCACTGGGTTGTGTAGACTAAATATGGACCAAAGCTTTTTACATGTTGATCATGCCTCAATAAAGTGGTTTCAAGGGGAAAATAAAACTCAGGCATTGAAGTCAGATCTGAGTTCAGCCTGTGATTTGTGATCTAAGCATTTAATCTCTGCCTCTTCGCTTGCCAAATAAGGATACTATTAATACCTCTCACAGAGCTGTTGTCAGAATCACATCAGGTGTTGTGCAATGTGTCTGATACGTGCTTGTAGATATGCAAAGGCCGTCTTAATTGAATTTTTTGCTGCCGGTGGCATATACAGGGGAATGCCTCTTTATGTGAAGTTTATTAGGTATGGAATAAAAGTTTTGTTTGGTTCTCTTGAGGTAATAAATGTTTTTACTGTGGAAGTATACTTGTGAAATGATGAATGAAATGCTCTTGTTTTTAAGCAAAAAACATGGCTCACTCCACTGAATTGGAGAGAAATGTTTTCAGACTAATGTAAATGATTTTCATTTCATTTTGAGTCAGAATTTTTTTTCTTTACTTGCTTGTAGCACCTGTCAAGTAATTGTCATAAAGATGAGGTTTTACGGCCATCCAGTATCTGTGCCTCAAACAGAT